GGCCTTCTAAAGAGCAGTCAGGGTTGATCTCCTCTAGGACTGACCTGTTGGATGGCCTTGCAGCTCAAGGGACTTGCAAGAGTCTTCTCCAGCACCAGAGTTCAAAGGCTTCAATTCTTTGGCTCTCAGCCTTCCTTATGATCCAACTTTCAACTTGAATTTCCTAAGGTCCACCAAATCTAGGTTGTGAAAAAATGGGAATTGCATAAACCCCAAACGAAATACGATGTTAGTGCCCAGGTTGGAATTGGGAATTGGAAGCTGCATTCTCAGTGTTGTTCTTCCCAGTGTTCTGTCCCACAATGACAACAGAGAAAGAAAAAGAGGCTGATCCATTGCCATGACAAAATCAGTTCTGGAAGCCTTTCGTCTCCAGAAATACCCTTTTTAATTATGAAAACACTGTTCAGATTTGGTGCAAACACTTTTGAGGTACAATGATTAAAATGCAACTCCTACATTGTACAGAAGGACCACTGCGGCTTAGCAAGAAAGTTTATTTCCTCCCCTCGCCCCCACCCCACTCTACCCCACAGCCCTCCCCAGTTTCCCTTACTCCCCAGACAAAACCCCTTTAGAGCTTAGAAAAAAAACCGAATTCCTTGGTAGGAGGAGAAAAAGAGACGCTTCGGTGGGTTTTCTGTTTGTTTCATTGTTAAATAAGGAGCAAATTTTTTTTTTTGTCCATAAAAGAGTCTTGGTTGAATTATGCGGTCATGAAGATTTGAGTGCTCAGCCCTGGGAATAAAAATCTAGCGTGGAACTCTACAAGAAGAAGACCCTTGTTGACTTCCCCCTTGCTTCTTCCAAGACAGCCATGGAAAAGGGGATGACTCTCCCTCCGTTACCCGGTTCCCCAGAATCTCTTCTGCAGAGTTTGTATCCCCCAGTGGAGCCAAAGGTCAAAGGATCGTCTCTCGGCACACTTCAATCAAACTGTGGGGCCTTCCTCTTTCCAAGGCATTTGTGACGGGGGCCCGGCGTAAGAAGGCGACGGGGGAGCTCAGGGCTCCACAGCTCTGCAGATGGAGGTCTTCCTGGAGCCACTTTCTGGAGGTATCCACATTCTTCTGGGAGCCCGTGATGACCTGTGGAAGAGAGGCCAAGTGAAAGAAAGGACGATGGAGAACCCACCAAGGCCTTGGGTTGATCATTGTCCCTGGGGGTGTGTGTGGAGGTTTATTGGGGTACTGGCTTTATTTCTGTAAGTCATGGTGAGTTGGACAGCCATATAAATGAAAAAAAGAAAAGAAAAGAAAAGAAAGAAAGAAAGAAAGAAAGAAAGAAAGAAAGGAGGGCGGAGACAGAAAGAGGGAAGGAGGAAGGGAGGGACAGGGAGGAAGAAGACAAAACGGGAGGGAGGGAGAGAGAGAGAAGGAAGAAAGCAAAAAAGGAAGGAAGGGAAGGAGAGGAGAGGAGGAAGGGAAGAAAGGAGGGAGGAAGCAAGCAAGAATGGGAGAAGGAAAAGAAGGAAGGATACAGAAAGGAAGAGAAGGAGAGGAGAAAGGGAAAAGAGAGGGAGGAAGCAAACAAGGGTGGGGGAAGGAAGGGAAGGAAGGAAGGAAAGAGGAAGGAAGGAGACAGAAAGGAAGGGAGGGAGAGAAGGAAGGAGGGGAAGGAGAGGAGAAAGGGAAAAGAGAGGGAGGAAGCAAACAAGGGTGGGG